GAAGGTAAGTCATTGCCTTGACACAGCTGACTGGGATTCAATGCCCAACACACCATATGGTCCCAGAGCACCGCCAGGTGTTTATCCTGAATGCAGAGCCAGGAGTAAGTACTGAGCAGTGCTGGGTATGGCCCAAAAGCTAAAAAAAAAAAAGGAAAAAAAATTATAAGCATAAGTTAGAATTAAAATAATAATATATTTTTGGTTTGGCAATTTAAACTTACCTATGTATGATTTATTAAAAAATAACAACAGTAACAATTTTCATATCTTTTTCCCTGTCGGGTTTTTGGGCGACACCCAGTGGTTTCAGAGCTTAAATTGCAGAGTTTAAGATTTCCTGTCAGTCTGAATTTGCAATTTATTTGTACATTATAGTTTCTGCCCATTGAGGAGACTATGTTTTTGAAGATGCTGTTCCCAGCATCACAGTGTCCTTTTTAAGAGGACTCAGGTGAGAAATTTCTCTCAGATCCCAGGAAATGCTGAACCTTTCCTGAGCAACTTGTTGTTTTTTTTTCATTTTTGTTTTTGACATTGAAAATCTTTGTTTCTCTCTTTGCTTTGGCCACTAAGAAGCTTGTAACTGAATTTTTGACCCATTAGTAATTGTACAGAATTTTGTGTCATGCTTTTATATGCTAATTTTACTTGCTAACTTATATTCTTACCTTTATTTTCTCTACTCTGACTTTATTATTTATATCCTGTTCATATATATATGCACGTGCATGTATATATATTTATATATATTGTTTATATATATTTGAATTTTATACATATTACTTAAATCTTTATCCTTTTTAAAATATGTTGTATAATATATACAATCAATATATATGATTAAATGTGTTGAGTGTATATGTGTGAGTTTGTATATATGTGCACAGGCACACATGTGTACGTAATTGTGTTTGTATATGTATTATGAGGAGCTTCAAATACTTTACAAAAAATCGGAAATAAATAGATATAAATAAATCGGATATAAATAAATGCAAGAATACTTACATTACTAATTTTAACATTAAACAGTGAAGGAATTTGATTGCTTTTAAATTACTAGTATTTTTGCAACAAAATAACCATGCTTTCGGATCAGCATAATTAGTATTTAAAATTTCATCTTAAGGATGATTTTGTTTTGTTTTGTTTTAGAAAAGGGATCCACTTATGTTTGAAAAAGATTGTGCCACTAAACTAAAAGAGAAGCAGCTCTTTAAGATATTTCCAGCCATTAATCAAAATTTTCTGGTGGACATTTTCAAGGACCACAAGTGAGTGGTGGAAGTATTGTCTGTAGTTTCTAGTGTGATGTCATTCAAATCATGTATCCTGCATCTTACGCTTTTTTTTTTTACTATTCTGATATTAGAAATAAATTAGATAATTATAAACTATTCCAGTGCAAAAACACAATGTAGAAATAGAGCATTTTTCTAGCAATTGGTTCATACTATCCTTAAAATTGTTTTCTTATATATAGTTATGTGTGTTTGCATACATGTGTCTGTTTGTGTGTCTATGCATAAATATATATATTTCACCAAGAAAAAGTTTTTTTATGTACTTTTTGTAGTTTTACTGGCATTTATTTTTCCTCTCCATATTATAGATCTGTTCTTTTAACAAAATCTACACAGTATTCAGTAGGGTTTGTTTTTTTTTTTGGCGGAGCCACAGCTGGCAGTGCTCAGACCTGACTCCTAGCTCTCTGCTCAAGAATCACTCCTGGGGAGGTTCCAGGGGACCATGTGTGGTGTCAGGAGTAGAACCCAGGTCAACGCCTGCAAAGCTAGTGCCCTATCTGTTGTGCTATCTCTTCGGACCCTCCATAGTATTCTTAAAGTGATTTCTTAAGTGCTGTGATTTATTTAAATAGATCCCTATTGATTTTATTGTCATCTTTGACTGTAAGAAAAGTTGGAAACCATGTTGGAAATCATGTTGCACAGAATATCATTGAATATATTATTTGAGCACATGAATGAATGCTATTTGCAGACTACTTCCTAAAAGTGAAATTGCTAGTTCAGAATGTGCATTAAAATATTTTATAGATAGGAACTGAGGAAATCGGTTAAAGGACAGGGTTGCATATTGTGTAGGAGTCTGACTTGATTGTTATCTTCTTGCTTTGATGTGTGTCTTTTTAACCTAGTATTTCTTTTTTGGGGGAAGCAAGATTGTTTTTACTGAAACTTTTTTATTTTTTTATTTTTATTTATTTATTTTTTTGAAATAAGTAGATTTTAGTTGGAGGATTTTTAAGGTGTGGAGGGGGGAGAGAGTGAGAGAGTAATGTACTCAAGAGAGAACACAGGCTTCTCCAAGGGCAGAGGGAGCCCCTACACACATCGTAACATTAGACATGAAAGCATGAAAGTACACATCTCAAGAGGGACGATGCGGGCGACACAGGTGCTCGGGCACCACATGTGGTCGGCCGTGTGGGTGCAAGCAGCACATGGGCTCGGGGCAGCATATGCGCCCTGAAACTTATTTAGAAAGATGTGAGGAGAGAGAACAAGAGAACAGGCAGAGTGGAAGCATTGAGACAGACCAGTGAACACGTGTTCAAGGAAGAACATGGGCTTGAAGAGCAAGCCCGTTTCTTTTTTTTCTTTTGTGCTTTTGTGGCAATACCACTTAGTCCTGACTCTTTGTCGTGATGGGGCTTAGGGGACGATATGGGGTTCCGGAGAACAAACCTGGATTAGCCATATACAGGACAGACGCCCTGCCTGAGGTTCTATCTCTCTCCTGCCATAGTATTATTTCTTTGATTATTTATTTGCTTGCTCGAGCGGGCCCAGTAACGTCTCCACTGGAGACTTTGTTGTTACTGTGTTTGGCATATCGAATACGTCACGGGGAGCTTGCCAGGCTCTGCCGTGCAGGCGAGATACTCTCGGTAGCTTGTCGGGCTCTCCGAGAGGGGCAGAGGAATTGAACTCGGGTCGGCCATGTTGGCTGCGTGCAAGGCAAACGCCCTACCGCTGTGCTATCGCTTCTTACTATTTTTTTGGTTTTGTTTTTGGGCCACACCTGGCAGTGCTCAGGGGTTACTCCTGTCTCTGCACTCAGAAATTATTCCTGGTGGTGCTCAGGCGACTGACCTTGTGGGATGCTGGGGATTGAACCCAGGTCAGCCACATGCAAGACAAAATGCCTTACCCGTTGTATAATCGCTCTGGCCCATATTTACTTGTTTTTGTATATGTGTTTGTTTATGTGGGGGGATTTATATCCATTGGTGCTCAGGGGCTACTCCTGGCTATGATCAGGACCCACTCGTAGTCAAAGTATGTCTAGAAGTATGTTTTTTTTGCAGGGGTGTGGGTTGGCCCACATCCAGCAGTGCCCAGAGCCTATTCCTACCTCTGTGCTCAGGAATGACACGTGGAGATGATTAGGGGACCATATGCTACGCTGGGGTTTTGAACTAGGGCTGGCAGAGTGGAAGAAAAGTACTTTTTTTTTCCTTTTTTTATTAGTGAAACACCATGAGGTACAGTTATAGACTTACAAATTTTGTGCTTGGGTTTCAGTTAAACATTGATCAAGTACCCATCCCTCCACCAGTGCCCATCATCCACCAAGGAAAAGTACTTTAAACTCCCTTGTACTACCTCTCTGGTTCATACATAATTTGAGTTATGGAATAATCATTTACAATAATATTTGCTGTATTTTCAAGTGTAAATTTTTTTCTTATCTACTCTTTTATTTTGGGACCACATCAGCTGATCTTGGGAACTTCTCCCAGAAATGCTTAGTGACCATTTGGTAGCAGGGATTGAATTTGGTAATATTGAATTTTACAATATTGTAAGCCCTTTTGACTCATTTCCCTGACTTACAGTATTGTTTTCTTATCTTAGTAATACAGTATGTACTTCCAAGTATCTTTAGATACTGAGGCAGTCATGCTAAGTGTTTTGTGAAATTTTAGAAATTTGTACTGCAAGTAATCCATGTGAATATGCTTGGATAATGTAGGGGAGAGAGGTAGGATAGTGTCTTAGTTTTTTTGCTATTTCTACTTAGAATTTTCTTTGAACAGACTATAATATAAATAAAAACTAAAAATTCACACAGGGGCCGGATTAATAGTACAGCAGGTAGGTGTTTGCCTTGCGAGCAATTGCTTGGGTTTGATCCCCAGTGCCCATATGCTCCCCGGCCCCACCAGGAGTGAACTCTGTTCTCTGAGTGTAGAGCCAGGAGTAAGTCGTGCACACCACCAGGTTCCCCCTCTCCTTTTTTTTTTATAAACACGAAAACATCAGTTTAAAGATGTATTATTTACAGAGTATTTGGAGAAATTTTAAGAAAACTGAAGCCAGGCTTACGAGGTCTAGGTGATAAGATGGAGGATTTGTCGTAGGTAATCTTCTAAAATGAAAGGCTAGGAAATGAATTCTTAATGTTACCTCTGGTATTTTGGGGGGAAGGTTTGGAGGTGCTCAAGGACTTTTCCCTGATTGTGTCTCAGGAATGACTTCTGATAGTGCTTGGGGGACCATAGGTGGTGTTGGGGATTTAAAGTACTTGCACGCCTTATCCACTGTACTATCATTCTGATCATCTTTTTTAAAAAACTCCTTTTTGAGAACCCAGTATTTGACATTTTCTTCTGGTCATTCTTTTCTTCATTCAGCATTGGATCTTAATGTTTAAAAGTTAGCCAGTTGATCATATTCATTTAAAATATTTGAAGGATTTACCTGTGCTTACGTTTTCACTTAGCTTTTGTTTTTATTTGACATATTTGTGTTTAACTCTACAGCTATTCATTAGAACACACAGTACAATTTCTAAATTGTGTTCTTGAAGGAGACCCTGTAAAAACAGTGGTAGCACCAGAGTTTGTTCATCAAAATGAGAGTGTCATTTCTCATACTGCACCGAAGTCTAAGGAGAAAAAGGTATGGTTACTTACTTTTTTCACTATAATTTGTAAAAAATTGTACGTGAAAATATGAATTTTTTCTTTAAGTTGCTTCCTCTGACAGGATACAAGACAAAAACCTAGTTTGCTTGGCTTGAGTTTGAAAAGGACACTTCCTTTGCCTCACTTGAATGGCCATTTAAGACATAAGTCCAGTTGGCAAAGTGAGAAGGGGGCAGAATATGAATGGTTTATTGGGATAATTTTATGATTATTTTTCCCCTTTTGAATAGGTTGTAACTTGAACCACCAATATCGTGCTTGGTTTAGAATATTCATTTAGATGCTGGAGTGATAGTATAGCGGTTCGGGTATTGGCTTTGCATGCAGCCAACCTGGGTTTGATCCCTCCACCACATATGGTCTCCTGAGCACAGAGTGAGGAGTAAGCCCTGAGAAGCACTGGGTGTGCCTCCCCAACCCCCCACCAAGAATACTTGCTTACTCACATAATAAAATTGTTTTGTTTCAGTAAGTAGAAAAGTTTATTGTAAAGTAGAAGAGAAAGGAAAACAAACTCCCCACATGTGGGAGGAACTTAGTATTGAATTAAGGTCTCAAACAACACATTTATAAGCCGACTTTTTTGCCCCTTCTGATGTCATTGTGCCTGAGAAATATTTGAATTTCTGTAACTTTTTCTCTTTAGAGTGTACAGTAATAGTATGAGGCTTAATTGAATATCAGTGGGCTGGTAATAAGATGTGATTTTTGGGCATAACTGTGTTGGCAGGTATGTTTAACCTCTTTATAAAACTTTGTTTCTCGGGGCTGGAGCGACAGCACAGCGGGTAGGGCGTTTGCCTTGCACGCAGCCAAGATGGCCGATACAGCTTTGATTCCCAGCATCCCATATGGTCCCCTGAGCACCGCCAGGAGTGATTCCTGAGTTCATGAGCCAGGAGTAACCCCTGAGCATCGCCGGGTGTGACCCAAAAAGCAAAAAAAAAACCCAAAAAACAAAAAACTTTGTTTCTCAATTTACCATTTTATGTTTTTGTTAGCAGTGTGTTAGTTTGTTCATATCCTCTCTGATTTATATTATTGCCTGTCAGATTTATAGCCATCTGGGGATATATGAAGTTGTTGTAAAGTATCAGGGGCTTTGAAAAATATGTTTTTTAGGCCACACCTGGGTGAGGAGTGAGCCCTGATGGTGCTCGGGCAGCCATGTGCAGTGCCTGGGATCCCAGTTTCAGTCGGTGGGGTATGTGGCAGGTGCCATCAGCACTGTGCTGTTTTCCTGGTCTTTGAATTCGTTTTCTAATCTAAAGAAGGAATTTCATGCTGTTCACCATCCCCTAGAAATCAGAGGCAAGATCTGCCCATTAGATGGACCACACTGAGGGTTGCTCAGGTGGGCAGAATTGGATTTAAGGGGGAAAATTGGCAATTGAAAGTTGTTTCATTGATTTCTTAGATTTTCTGTTGGATATACTAGATGGGAAAGGGTAAGTAGTTTTAGGATTGGCTAGTTTGAATGATTTCAGTTTGCTTGGGGGTGTAGGGATCCTTCTTAGTATCCTGCTATCAGGCCTCTGTGTGATTATGACATGAGGATAGTGACCATATGAGTGAGTCTGTGGAGGAAGTGATTGGGGTATGGTCTATGGATGGGGTATGTACGTATGTGAAGCAAGCTGGCGGGCTTACTTTTTGCTAGCTTTTAGGAATTAGCTAACTCCATGGTGGGGGTTCAATGCCTGTAGGGGTTAACAAGATTCCAGATACCAAAGGACCAACAGTATAAGAAATAAAATGATGAATGCAGAAGTGATATCTCATTGTGGTTTTGATTTACATTTATGTTTATTATTTCCAGTGCTATTATTACTATTACTGTATTTTGTTTTTTCAGCTACATTTAAGAGTGCTTAGTGGTTACTCCCGACTGTGCAGTCAGGGATCACTCCTAGAGGTTCTCGGAGTACCTTGTGGGATGCCGGGGATTGAACCCAGGTTGACTGCACAAGGCTGTACTGTCACTCCAGCACCTCTTTTCCGTGCTGTTATAAATAGACTTACTTTTTTTAAAGTATCTTGGGATTCAAATTATTTTATATACTAGTCATATTTTATATACTAGTCTCGGAGAGCCCAGCAAGCTACCGAGAGTATCTCACCTGCATGGCAGAGCCTGGCAAGCTCCCCGTGACGTATTTGATATGCCAAACACAGTAACAGGTGTCACAATGGAGACGTTACTGGGCCCCCTCGAGCAAATCGATGAACAACGGGAGGACAGTGACAGTGATTAGTCTTATTAGTTTTAGTTACTTTTTTTAAAAAAAAAAATAGAGGCCTTTATCATTCTGCTAGTCTTATTTATTAATAAATTAACATATGAATAACCTTTTTATCCTTCTTTGGTTTTGGGGCTGCACCTCTTTGTGCAGGGGCAACTTCTGACTTGCTTCTTTGCAGGGTCACTCTCAGTGGTGCTCAGGGGACCGTGCTTTGCTAAGGGTTGTACCCGGGCCCCTGAGTGTGTGCTCAGCCCTTTGAGCTATCTCTTCGTTTCGTTTCCTTTCCTTTATTTTTTGGTATCCTTCATGGTTATTTAGTGGATACATAGGGCTTAGATAAGGCGCTGTGCACAGAGCAGGGTCCAGGTGATGGCGCTGAGGCCGGTGCTAATCATGGCTTGATAGGGACAGTATTTCAAGATGCAGAGTGTAGAAGACGATGGAGGTCATTTCATTCCAAATTAGATTTGGAATAAAGATTACTCGCAAGTATTAGATTGGGAGTAAAGATTATGTTTTTCTCCCAATAATTCAGGCACTGTGTTTCGTTCTGGTGACAGGAGAGGTTAATGGGGATTTGGTGTGTGCAACCAAATGCTAAAAGTGAAAATGATGGAAAGATGTTGCAACCTAAAAAGGAAATTTTGAGTTACATCATAAAATCGTGAAAAGATACTAGTTTTAAATTATTGTATGTATTCTGTATATTATTCTTGAGTCTTTCTCATAAAATGTTGACAGTTTCACAATACTGATAGAAAATATCTCAAGATTTATAAGCAGAATAGTGTTGTCTTTGCTATGTAACTGAATATACAGTCCTGTTTTGGGTGGTTAGGCTGATCCACATCCAGGGGTGGCAGAGGCTACTACATGCTTGGTGCATGTAGTAGGGGACTGTATGCTCTTCTGTGATTGAACTGACCCTATCCCAGTGACTTCTTCCACAGACTCACTCATACGGTCACTATCCTCATCTGTTAATCACAGAAGTCTGATAGGAAACTAAGAGTGATCCCAATACCCACTTATGCATGCAGCTTTCTCTCCAGCTTGATTTTTGTTGTCTAATTAAATCTTGATAAATATCAATACGTTTTTCACATCTTTTAAGGTAATAGTGATTTTGGGATTTTTATTGCATGAAAGAGTTCATGAGAATTATTAGTAACATACCTGAATTATTAGGTAAACACTGGGAAGAATTGGTTTCTTTTTTTTTTTTTTTTTCTTTTTGGGTCATACCTGGCAATGCACAGGGGTTACTCCTGGCTCTGCACTCAGGAATTACTCGTGGCGGTGCTCAGGGGAACATATGGGATACTGGGAATCGAACCCGGGTTGGTAGCATGCAAGGCACACACCCTACCCGCTGTGTTATGGCTCCAGCCCCCAAGAATTGGTTTCTTGACAAGAAAGATGAAAATAATAGGATCCATTTTTTTCCATAAGCACTTTTTACTTTTACCATGTTTTGTTGTATAATATCTTTCAGACAAAGAAATCGAAGGAGACTGAAGATATGCCAGGGGAACCGTCTTTCCAGGACTTTGAGTACCCAGAGTATGATGACTACAGGGCAGAGGCTTTCCTGCACCAACAGAAGCGGATAGAGTGCTACAGCAAAGCAAAAGAAGCCTATCGGATGGGGAAAAAAAATGTTGCTACATTTTATGCTCAGCAGGTAAGTGGGGAGCCTATACTACTTTTCTAACTTACAGTGTTTGAATAATCTTGAAGCAGATAATATTTGGATTGTTGTTAGATTGGGTTTCGGGAACATGGACTAAATAGCACTGTCTCTCGTTGTTCATCAGTTTTCTCGAGTGGGCGCCAGTAATGTTGCTATCCGTCCCAGTCCTGAGATTTTAGCAGCCTCTCCTTACATGTCTTTCCCAATGCTGCCATAGTAGAGGCTCTTTCAGGGTCAGGGGAATGAGACCTGTTACTGTTACTGTTTTTGGCATATCACATACGCCACAGGTAGCTTGCCAGACTCTGCCATGGTGGACTAAATAAGATATCTAAATACATAAGAATTGTTTGGATCTAAGAACTTGATATCTGTGAAATAGCTAGAGGGAGCTTTTTCTGTGGTTGCTTTCCGTATGGCTTACATTTTAAGTTGTAGGTTATTCTTGCAGGTCATTTTTTCATTTGGGTACATTCTATCCAGTACAGATTTTCTGGTGGAAATACAGTAGTGTTAGTATAGACTACCAGATCACTTCAGATTGGGATTATACTTGACCTTGTGTTTTCTTTCATGTTTGAAATTTTAATAATATGTCTCCTTTTCTTTTGGTTGGGGGGTGGGGAGAGGTTTGAACTATACTTGGCTGTGTTCAGGGCTTGCTCCTGGCTCTGTACTCAGGAGTGACTCCTGGCAATGCTCAGGGGACCATATGTGATGTTGAGGATTGAACTTGGGCAGGGACTTTCTTGGATGTACTATGTCTTCAGTCCCTTTATAGCTGAGAAGGAAAATTAAATGGGGATGTGGGACATGTCTCAAAGGCCTGAAGAGCTTGCTTTGCTGTGGGAGCCCCGGATTCTATTCTTGACACCACATGGTTGGCCTGCCAAGTTGGCCTGAGAGAAAATAAAATACCCAAAAATATAAATTTGTGAAAAAGATAATTACAGTAATGTATTTTACGGAAGTGAAATTTGTTAGGCCCCATTTAGCATTGTAGTAAATGAAACACAATTTAGTTGTTTTTTTTTTTTTTTTTTTTTTTTTTTTTTTTTTGCATTTTGAGTCACACCCAACAATGCTCAGGGGTTATTTCTGGCTCTGCACTCAGGAATTACTCCTGGCACTGCTGGGGAGACCTTATGGGATGCCGGGGATCGAACTCTGGTCTACTGCATGTAAGGCAAATGCCCTACTTGCTGTACTATCGCTCCAGCCCCCTAAATTAGTTTTTAT